TTCGGACGCGTTGCCCGAGCGTACGCATCGACAGATCCCGCCAGAGTCCTGCACGCGATCGTCCACGGCTGGCGTGGACACGCGCGGTCGAGGTTCGATCTGCAACACCTCGGCCATGGCTTGCCGGCAGCGTGGCGGCTGCCGCGGGATAGGATTGCCTGGTGGCGGCTCGTGGGGACTGCGACGACCCGAGGGGCATGCACACGATGATGATGACGTGGAGACATGCACACGATGATGATGACGATGATGACGTGGGGACATGCACACGATGATGATGATCACGTGGGATCATGCACACGATGATGATGATCACGTGGGATCATGCACACGATGATGATGATGACGTGGGGGCATGCACACGATGATGATGATCACGTGGGATCATGCACACGATGACGATGATGATGACGTGGGGGCATGCACACGATGACGATGATGATGACGTGGGGGCATGCACACGATGACGATGATGATGACGTGGGGGCATTCACACGATGATGATGATGACGTGGACAAAACGAGCGGTTTTGTTTTTCTATAAAGAACAACCCCATGACAAGTGAGTTGTACACATCCCATCGGCCGCATCGCCTTCTTGGAGTTAATTGATTTCGGCAGCGCCGGTTCAACAAAAGCAGAACTCGGGAACATTTCCTACATTCAGTGTCTCGCCAGCAGAGTCAGGCTTTCCTGAACCGTCACCTGATGCAAGAAATACATCTGCAGTGGGCCCTGTTCAGAGATAACATCCCGACTGGTAAAAATCTGCGCTCTGCTTAGCTACTTCATTAACACCATTGTCAAACTCGAGAATCCCAAGACGTCCATCTAATTGACTTTAAACTATCCCAAGAACAAGAATAGGTGACAAAACCTTTGCCGTTGCAGCACCAACGTTTTTGAACAACAAAAACAACCTTGTTTCATCCCCTAAACATCGTAAATCTTCCTTCAACAATAATCTGAAGTAGAAGATTAGTACTGGGTACAACCACATCTGTGATTTGTAACTTTGATTCTTACCCATGTATTGATAGGTTTACTTTAATTTGCAATGTTATTCAGGGGCTGTGTTGTTGTCTTGCTGTTGTCTGGGACTGTTGTTGTTGTTTTGCTGCCTTGGCCAAGTTTACATTTGGTGTTGAAAAATTTGAAGGAATTGATGTACTTATGCCATTTGTATTCATATATAAGAATTGGTTTTACCCTTTCTGGCAATACAACTGGTGTTAAGATGTTAAAACACCAAAGACATATATTATATATATTACCAGAGAGTGTGTTTTTGTTTGCATGTTCACCACAAGTTTGTGTGGTTAATGCAGCCATGATTCCTTGCAAAAGGTTTCCGTTTGGTGTTGAAACGTCTTAACATAGCCGTTTTATTGCCAAAAAGGGTAAAACCTATTCTTATATTTGATAATTGCAAGAAAGGCCCCATTATGTACTCATATACTTTATTTATTTGTATTTAAACTTAGTGAACTGCTCAGCTTCTATACACTCTGCACTCGTGTCGTGCTGCTGCTGCTGCGCTGTTTGTTGCTGCAACGTTCAGACCCGCCCCTGCTGGACACCTGTGACAAAGCGCTTTGTAGCTCATCGGATTCCTCCTGCAGTCTCAATAAAGATTCAGAATCTGAACCAATGCTGATGAAGTGACTTGATACGTAAGGATTCTCGCTGTAATGTATGGGTTCGACCCAGAACTAGTATGATGTTATGCTGGTAGGAACCTCCTGGTTACACCAGCCCACAGAGGATTATTGTGTCCGTCCGTCCGTCGTGCAGGGAGGGGCTGGGTGGGGAGAGACGGGCTGGGTGGGTGGGGAGGGTGGAAAGGGGCTGGGTGGGGAGGGTGGGGAGAGGCTGGGTGGGGAGGGTGGGGAGAGGCTGGGTGGGGAGGGTGGGGCTGGGTGGGGAGGGGCTGGTCACCCCATGGTGCCATTATAAAACTCAACGTTTGACCTACTCACGCCGGCTTGTGCCCACCCTCACAGTCGGGCATATTTGCGGAATACACCACGCCGCCGTTGACCCTGGCCATTGACCGAGCAGCCCAACGTTCCTACCAGCTCCCTCTGCAGGAATGTGTAAACGTAACACTCCTTTGTGGAGAATGCAAGTGACGCAACTCGTGACTGGTTTCGAAACTTAACGGATGCTTTGTTGTGGCATTGATGCAAATCAAAACCCACAAAAAAAACACATGAACGTGTTACTCTGAATAAACTAAACTATTGACATTAATCTAATCTGGGCCATCACCATTCCTTTCTTCATATTGTGGATAGTCGTGCTTACTCATTGGAACCCTCTCAGGGTTTGATTTACTCGGGATAAGCGAGGTTTTTGTTTTGCTTACATGCACTGGACAGATTTGCATTAAACGTATCCGTCTATTTAAAGATATCTACGTCGTCTGTCAATGTTCCCTCTTGCGTTTGCGTTTGTTTTTCTGTCCTTGCTGTCGAGCACGGCTCTGCCGCCAGGATCCTTTCAAATATTCTTGCTGTGGTTTTCACACCTGATGATGATTGCTTGTGTTGCAATCGAAACGTCGTGATAATTGTATTGTTTAATTTTTTTATCTTCTACGTGACTTTACCGAAAGAACCAGGAATATGAATCCCTGCAGTCACGAAAGCTTTACATCGACATTTAGGATCCTTTAGCTTCGCGAAACTTTCACCTGCCATCAAATTAGCCGGGGGCGTCGGACACGCCGAGTTCGCAGATCTGCTGCGCCGGAGGAAGAGAGAGAGCAGAAAAAACTCGCGAGAAACCCGACCTTTGGAATGGGTCTGAGACTGCTCCGCGAGCCTAGCAACCGCTCTGCAAAGCAACGTGGGGGAGATGATTGTGGCGTTGCCAAACCTGGCACCCGTTGCACCAGCGAGCCCTCGCGATCGCCGCTTTTGGAGAATGAGCCCCGAACGCCACTACAGACACACGCCGTCAACTGAGCCATCCATGACTCGTCGTGCCGCTTGATGATTTACTTACCGAGCTCCCTCTGTCACGCCTCATCCAAACCTGCCCCCTCTGAATGTCCTCTCTAGCCTCCCTGCACGGCCCTCCCCACCCACCGTAACACAAAAAGGGACCGTACCACACGATTAATTATAATGCACTACCCTGCCAAGCTAAGCCCTTGCCCCCCCCCCTCCCCCAGTTGGCACAGGACATTGCTACCTGGACATAAGCTCCCTTCTTCATCTTCACTCTGCTGCCCGCACATGGAACTGCCTCTCCTGACTTCACCACACGCCTTGTAGGACTACCGAGTCTTTGAGCTGCAGTGCACCCAATGATTATGCCGATTATATGTACTCATGTCTCACACGGCTGTTGTTCACAATCGCACCCAATCATCAAAAAAAACCTCAGCAGAAAGACTCACACTCACTGTTGGATCGCATGTTTAGTAGGTAATTTAATTTCCGTTTAAATAACGCCGACACACAAATGACAAGTTCGACTGTCGCGATGCAGCAGGGCAGGTGGGAGAGCGCCGCCCTGTCGTGTGCGGCAAGAGGTCACGTGTCGAGGCTCAGAAGTAGTTTTGGGATGCCTCCTTCCGCGGACCGTTCTCGAACACGGGGCGGTGTTTACCGGTCAGCGAGCGGTCTCGATGGATCTGTCATGTCCTGGCGACACGATGCCAATCGCTACAACTCCGAGGTTGAGTGTAACATCAGCACAACCATGCACCACTGACAGGCCCAGGAAACGAGTCCGCATTCACGCCGCGTATCACGGTTACATTACACGATAACACAAAACAAACACATCGTATTTGACACAGTGGGTACAAGTGCAGAAGCAAAATAATCGATCTGCACTCACATTCAGTTGAGCGGTTATTAATACATTCACCAAACAGTTTTTTTCGAAATCTATACAGTAAACTATGATAAAACACTCTGAGAATACTTCCCTACCATTGTAGGTACACACCCGAACAGACCGTGGCTTCCAATTTAAAACGGTGAACTTACATTGCTATTAATACGCTTGTAATTTCTCTCAATATTTTCAGTTTTCTATTCAACTTGGAGCGTAACGCCGGCACGCATTGGCGGATCTTCAACGGCCACTGCGTGGCGGAGGGCGCGGAAATAGGTTTTTTTGTGGCAGCATTGACCGGGGCGGCCTCGCCGATTCGAACCCGCGAACCTCTCTGCAACAAGGGGGGAACGCGGCGCCGCTGGGCCATGGCGTCACGAGTTAGACCCCCCCACCCCCCCGCCCCCCCACCCCCCCACCCCCCCCCCTTACGAGAGGGGGGGGGCTCATGCCCCCACGAGGAATCCATCGTTCAAGGCGCATTCAATTTGCCCCGAGGCTGAGCACCCCCGTATGTCAGGAATACTAAACGATTAAACTATTTTGTTATTTTACCAGCTGAGGCCCAAGTGAGCTATAGAGCTGTTTCCTTTTCTTCTTCAGAAGCGGCCTGGCTATCACGAATGATATCAGCTCGAAGCAATGGCTTTTATTATCACCAGGGAAATGTATCGCAGCCAAATGACTCTGAAGGCGGGTTGTCGAGTCTAATTGTGGAGGGGGTGGGGGGGGGTAAAACAAACAAACCGGAGGAACCGGAGGACCCGGAGAGAGAGAAAACAACAACCAATAAGGAAGGTGGAGCGTGCGATCGCCTTGCCCGGGTTCAGGGTCTCCGGGTTGGACTGCGCCCGTTGATCCATCCCAAGCTGTCTGGCCACACGCTCTGAGCGCACCTGGACCCATCTCACCGAGGACGCTCACTGGCAATAAGCGCTAGAGCGGGACAGAGGGGGGAAACGATCAACGCCGTCGCCGCTGGGATTTTTTCATTTTACAAATCGGCCGCCGAATGTTAAGAGGAGTTTCAAAATGAGTTCACCGTTTCAAGTTGTAAGAGGCGCGCGGTCTAGCGTACACGTGAACTATAACGCTCATACGTGGCTTGGCCTTGAAGGCAAGGCGTACGTAGTGTTGTGCGGCGGTGCCTGGCCCGCAGGTCGCCTCCTCGTCCCACGCGGACTGGGACGAGGACTGGGACGAGGACTGGGACGGGACGGACTCCGGCCACAGCGCGAGAGGGCGCGGGGCGCACGGCCACGGAGTCGCTGTGGAGACGGCACCGCCCTCCCCCCCACGGTCCTTCCCCCCCACCCCAAAGAGGAGGATGGAGTCACCTCGTCATGGTTCGTACGTAGCGCAGGAAGCAGCAGTAGCGAGGCGCATCTTGTCTATCTGGTCTGAAGGCGCATCTTGTCTCTCTGGTCTGCGAGCCGCATCTTGTCTATCTGGTCTGAAGGCGCATCTTGTCTATCTGGTCTGGAAGGCGCATCTTGTCTCTCTGGTCTGCGAGGCGCCATCCTCTGCTTGCCGGGGCAATTCTTCTCTCGCCCGCTGTTGTTTGAATTTGCGGTGCAGGCCCCGCGCGGATCGTTCTGCGCGACGCCTTTTTGATGTTGTTGTTGTTTTCTCCCCGCGGCCTGGAGTGGGATGGTGTCTCGCCGCCCTGCAACGGCTTCTCCTCACTTCGCGTGCGCTTTACCTGCAGGTCATCTTTGTTGACCCGCAGCCTCTCTCTGTGAGGAACGAGCGAGTTATCACAACTGCCCTGGGTTATTCACATTGTCTCATTGACTGCGGGGCGGGCGGGGGGGGCTGCGTTTTAAGTGATTGTGTGCCAGAGCCAATTGTTGCTACACAAAGACAAATATCGTGCCCCCCCCCCTCCCCACCCTCTGCGTGTCGCCTTCACAGATTGTCGGGATGAGTGGCATGAGCGGGCACCTATGAAGGCCGCCACGGCACGCGCCGCCTTTGTCTCCCTAGTGACGATGTGTACACACTTCGGCACCAGGTACTCATTTGAGGCCGAGTCGATCTAGGGGCTGCCCAGAACCGGTCAGACAATCGTCACTCACTGCTGTTGGCCGCGAGCTGGGAACGAATGTCGGCTCGCCGGGTTCGTAGCGCGGTGCGCTAACCGTTGCGCCACCGCTCAAACTCGATTCAGTGACCCCCACCCCCTCTGCTCTCTGCTCCACGTGTGGACTCGCCCGTGTCCACGTGGGTTCAACGTCTCTATGCCCCTGTCTCTTGGTTTTCCTTCTCACTTTCCTCGCCTCCCCACCCACACCCGCGGCGTCGTCTCCCGTCGCCGTGGCCTTCCCCTCCCTCCTCTCCTTCTTCCCCCTCCTCCTCTGCTTCTTCCCCCCCCGCCCCCTCTGCTTCTTGCGCCTCCGCCGCGGCGTCTGGGTCACCCCCCCGGGCGTTCGAGTGGCGCTCTCCGCGACGACGGCGACGCCGCCTGGCCCCCGGCACGCGCCAGCGTGGCCGCGGCTCACCGCGTGCCTGTGGACGTTGGCGACGTAGAGGCGCAGGTGGAAGACGCCGCAGTCGAGCAGGCCGCCCTCCAGGCTCCGGGGGGGCGCCGCGGGCGGTGGCCGCGCTGCCTCGGGGCTCTGCGCCTGGAGGGGTCGTGGGGGAGGCGAGAGCGCGGTGCTGTTAGGTGGCGCTGGGGGGGAGGGAGGCGGTGGTGGTGGTGGTGGAGGGTGCAATGTTACAGCGATGTTGCTCAACCTTCTGGAGCTATTCGGTAGGGTGGCCACTCTACCCTCCCCCCACCCCACCAAGCTCGACCACTGGTGCCCGCATCTCCCTCACCCACCTCTCCCCACAAACTAACGTGCTCTGATTATAATTATATGCATTGTCCTAGAATTATCGTAGCGTGTCTGTTTGCATGTTTTGCCACAAAGTCTGTGCGATTAATGCAGACTTGATGTCTTGCATAAAACGCAACAATTTGGTTTTGGAACATCTCATCACGAGTCCTGTCTTATTGCTAGAAAGGGGGGAGGGGGTGGGGGTGAATCAACCTCACTGTTATTTTTAGTCATTTTTTATACTAACAATAAAGGTCCCGTACAACTATTTCATGTTGCGTATCGGTTGTGTTTTCGGTTGTGCCCGTGCTGTTTTTTCAATTGTCTCCTGCACGCTATCAATGTCGCGGCCTTGCGTCCTTCCCTGCACTGCCTTGCACGAACTTTTCGAAAAAAAGTGTTTCCACTCTTACTGCCAACTTTCACGGCGCTGTCTGCTGCTGCTGCTGCCCGCTTGGCGTACCTTGGTCGGGTGAAATATGTTGGAGTTGAGGAAGATATCCCGGATGCTTTTTAGGGTGTCACACGATTCGGAGCAATTATTGCCGAAAAAGAAGTCTCTGAAGTGATTGAGTCCGTCGACAATTTCAGCCAAGCACGCCTCCTGCGCTCAAGACACACGGCCACACGCGACAAGAGGGGATCGTTAAACACGCGGCCAACACAGACGCGCCCTGGGCATGCCAAGGGACGCAGCCCTGTGCGTCCCATGCGCTGTAAGCGGAGTCTGCACGAGTCGCACAACTGAATATGGAACACGTCGCAAAAAGCTGGTGCATCGCCGTGTATCTTCCGTGAAACAACAGCGCCTTCTGATACCGTCGCTTCTGCCAAATGAGTGCGTGGAGCCCAATAGCTTATTTGTGTTTAAATGAATGGGATATCATCTTCTTGGTTCTTTCGGTAAAGTCACGTGACTTTACCGAAAGAACCAAGAAGATGAATCCCTGCAGTCACGAAAGCTTTAAATCGAAATTGAATGGGATATGTACAGAGTACACTCTGGGTAATATCCGGCTAGATAGCTGATCGGCAGAGCGTGTCGCAATAGGAAGGTCGCGAGTTCAAATCGTGACTCGGGGTTGACTCGGTTCATGATCCCCCCCCCCCCCCCAGGAGCTGACACAATGGTGAAGTCGACACGTGGTTGTCGTCTGGATAGACCCAGCCCGCATCCCTTGCCGCCAATGCGAATGTGAAGACTCCTGGCGCAAGCTCAGGGTTGTGGAGTTAACACGAGCACCACCACAATGCGGGGGTTTTTTTTCTAATAAAGGATGTCACTTTGACCTTGCTATTGTTGTTGTTGTAGTCATGCCCGGATACGTGTTAGTGTGTGTGTGCACATGTTTGAAACGCAAAGCCTTGGTTGCACAATCGTTGACAACTCATGTGTGTAGTAACACCTACCATCGCCGTGTCGTTCAGCTGTCCTCCTGCAAGGCACAGGAATGGCTTCCCCTTGAGTTTCGCCAAAGAGTTTGAATAGTTTGCGCAATTTGTCTGAACATAATGGGGAAAAGGTATCGTTTGAAAAAAAAAAGAACAACAACAACAACCAGACCATTCTCTCGGTGCACACTGCGGCGTCTCTTGGTCGCGACACGTTTACACACAGCAAACGTTTCTGCACGTGAAATGGCAATGGAGGCGACAGAATGAGTGTATTTACCTGGAGCGTGTTGATATGCGTTATCCTGGACAGGAATATCTCAAAGCGCATATTGAGATCACAGAAGTCGAATTGCGCCCTCGACGCCAGACTTTCTGCCCAGCTCACAGTGACGAAGATGAGCAAGATCTTCACACCTAGGAGACAATCATCATCGTCGTCATCATCATCTCCGTCATCATCGTCATCATCATTCCTGACACGGACAAAACAAAGCCACGATAATTTCGTAACGCTTTTAAAAAGCTATACAACTAAATTTTGTTTTATTTCAACAGGCAAGGCCCACTGAGCTATATAGCTCTTTTTCAGAAACGACCTGGCTATTAAAATGATAGCTCAACGAAGTGGCTTATCACGTGGAAATGTATAGCAGGCAAATACTCTCAAAGGCGCGTTTCTACACGTGGAGGAAAAAACCGGAGGACCTGGAGAAAAATCCACGCGACCAAAGAAAGAGATACCCAGACTCCAAATATACAGCAGCAGGCGTCAGGGTCGGGATCGAACCCACGACCTCCTGTAAAGCAGGCGAGGTAGTTAACATCTCCTAGCCACCGTGATGATGATGAGAGAGAAACACTACAAACTCCAAATATACAGCAGCAGGCGTCAGGGTCGGGATCGAACCCACGACCTCCTGCACACCACGCGAGGTAGCCTCGCCAAGGGGCTGGGTCCCCCCCCCCAGACCGCAAGCCTCACGCACCGTGCGCCCTCATCTCTGCACCCATCCTGCCCCCGGGTCTTCTTAATGCGCAACATTTAGTGCAGCCAAGAACCGATTTCTGTGCATTAGAGGCAAGAGCCCTAAAGGCAGGGCCAAGCATCGCCCCCCTGGTTCTGTCCGCGAGCAGCAACATCAGCACCGCACCCCAGACCGGGCTTCATCTCTCACGGGACATGTTTTCTGGATCGCTGGTTAACCGAGTGAGTCGTGACGGAGCTACAACGAATTTAGGCGTGCCGATGCAGACGGACGCGACTGAGTCCCCGTTTGTCACGGCTCCGCTCGGCTGACAAAAGATGCGTCCGTCAGCCATCGCCACCGCGTCGCGCTTCTCGCTTTAAAAAAAAAACTCTGAACCGACTTTTAGAACCGGCCCGTTCTATTTTCTTCTGCGGCGACGGCGCAGCACGGGGCGACTCGTGGCGATGCAGGCGCATGCCTGAGAGGGCGCGCGTGTTACCCATGCGTGATGCCTCCTCTCTCTCTCTCTCTCGACCGCGATGAGTATCCAATCGCGCTGCATTGTAGCTCGTTATCGCCCTCTCTTTCCACCCGTTTACAAAATCGTAAGCAACTTTTGCTTCGAAATAAGAATGATGATGATTGTTATTATTCCGACAATTCCCCACATCTCAGACCTAAATGTGCTGAGTTGCGGGATACAAGGTGACTCAATGCGAGCGGTCAATTGTCGTAGTTGTGATTCGTGATTGCGCTGCGCACTTGGCAGGGCGAGAGGCTCGCGATCAGAGTTCAAAATCCTGGACGAGGCGTTCACTCGGACCCATCATCCTTCCGCGATCAGTACAATAAGCAGCGCTTTGCTGGGAAGCCAACGGCGGTTGTTCTATGGATAAACTCGCCCCCCCCCCCACCACCCCCTCATCACCATATGAATGTGGAAATTCCACCACTGGCTCAGGACTGTAAACGGGAGATGAGTACCACCTCAACGCTTATTAGAGCAGGAAATCACTTCCACACTGCACACTGTTGGTCCACGGTAAAATGCTCGTGGGTCTGTATTATAACACGGGCGGTGGCACTGTGCTCGTACCCCAACCCCACAGCCCCCCCCACCCCCCCCCCCCCCCCCCCCCCAAAAAAAAAACCTCAATCCACGATCGCTCAATTAAAATAAACGACACAAACCCAACATTACCTTTGCAAAACATGTTTGCAGCGAAGGAGACGACTCTGCGATCCCCCCTCTCCCTCTCCTCCGGAGGCGTGCGACGGCGGCGGGGGATGAGAAGTTTGGTTGGAAGGCGGCCTCGCTCGCCCCGTGCCCCGTGTGTGGCCGAGCGTCGCCCGCAGAGAGTGAAGTCCACGCGCTCTCTGTCTGTGGGCTCCTGCGGGTGCCGGGCGACTATTAAATAGGCGACTGCGCGGTGGAAATGCCGCCCTCGGAATTGCCATGCAGAGCGAGGAGTTTTCCTGCAGAGGTGGAAAACACTCAAGCTGCAACGTAGCCAGAGGTAAAACATTTTTTTCCAAAAGGGAGATATTTCTGTAATCTAGAATGCTAATCGCCATCTCAGCGGGAAAACCCCACGCTGGCACGACGCGAAGAGAGCCCCAGAAATAGTCCAGGAAACAGTGGTGGTAGCGTGCCCCAGGTGCTTAAAAAAGCTACATGACACGGGTGTTCGTTTGTTTTTTAACATCTCACAAAACTCTGGAAAGTCCCAGGGCACAGCACAATGCGTGTAAAATTAGCCCTTGACGATCTCGTGGATGCAAGAGCCGCGCTGATGTGTTACGTGAAGATATTAAAACACGCGGCACATTCGTGACCTCTGTGATATGATCTCCGTACTGCCCGTGAACGCACTGAGTTGCTGAAGAAGCGAACCGTGATAATTATGGAAATGCCATCGTTTTACCACGATAGCCTTCTTTAATCAAAACCGGCCAATTATTAAATATGCAATGGAGTTCATATTAACCAATTCCATCTTCTTGGTTCTTTCGGTAAAGTCACGTAGAATGGAAATAATAAAATAGTAAAAATAAAACATAAAATATTTTATATTATATTATTTTATTATGTTTTATTTTTATTATATTATTTTATTATGTTTTATTTTTATTATTTTATTATTTCTATTCTACGTGACTTTACCAAAAGAACCAAGAAGATGAATCCCTGCAGTCACGAAAGCTTTAAATTGAAATTTAACCAATTCCCTGTTTTTTTAAGAACAAAATGATGTATGAATTAGACAAACAATAGGTGATTAAGGTTCAGATTATATGAAAAAGTAAACCCCTGGTTTCATTAGGCCAATCAAGGAAACAATTAGAATCAGGTGTTTAAATATAATTAGGTAGATCTTCAGGGGTGAGTTTGGAAGGCCCCACACCATATAAAGACCAGAAGCGTTGTGAGTTTGGTCTTCACCATAAAGGTATGTGGAAATAAGCCATGTCACGATCAAAATAAATCTCTGAGGATCTCAGAAAAACTATTATTGATGCTCCTCAGTCCGGAATGGGTGCAAAACCATTTCTAAGAATTTGGAGTTCCACCAATCCACTGTCAGACAGATAGTGGGCCATTCCCTCAGCCTTCCCCCGCGGCCTGGTGGACCACTTTCCTCGACCTTGTGGGCCACTTTCCTCGGCCTTGTGAGCCACTTTCCTCGGCCTTGTGGACCACTTTCCTCGGCCTTGTGAGCCACTTTCCTCGGCCTTGTGAGCCACTTTCCTCGGCCTTGTGGACCACTTTCCTCGGCCTTGTGAGCCACTTTCCTCGGCCTTGTGGACCACTTTCCTCGACCTTGTGGGCCACTTTCCTCGGCCTTGTGAGCCACTTTCCTCGACCTTGTGGACCACTTTCCTCGGCCTTGTGAGCCACTTTCCTCGGCCTTGTGGACCACTTTCCTCGGCCTTGTGGACCACTTTCCTCGGCCTTGTGAGCCACTTTCCTCGGCCTTGTGGACCACTTTCCTCGACCTTGTGGGCCACTTTCCTCGGCCTTGTGAGCCACTTTCCTCGGCCTTGTGGACCACTTTCCTCGGCCTTGTGAGCCACTTTCCTCGGCCTTGTGAGCCACTTTCCTCGGCCTTGTGAGCCACTTTCCTCGACCTTGTGAGCCACTTTCCTCGACCTTGTGAGCCACTTTCCTCGACCTTGTGAGCCACTTTCCTCGACCTTGTGAGCCACTTTCCTCGACCTTGTGAGCCACTTTCCTCGACCTTGTGAGCCACTTTCCTCGACCTTGTGAGCCACTTTCCTCGACCTTGTGAGCCACTTTCCTCAACCTTGTGAGCCACTTTCCTCGACCTTGTGAGCCACTTTCCTCGGCCTTGTGAGCCACTTTCCTCAACCTTGTGAGCCACTTTCCTCGACCTTGTGAGCCACTTTCCTCGACCTTGTGAGCCACTTTCCTCGACCTTGTGAGCCACTTTCCTCGACCTTGTGAGCCACTTTCCTCGACCTTGTGAGCCACTTTCCTCGACCTTGTGAGCCACTTTCCTCGGCCTTGTGAGCCACTTTCCTCGACCTTGTGAGCCACTTTCCTCGACCTTGTGAGCCACTTTCCTCGACCTTGTGAGCCACTTTCCTCGACCTTGTGAGCCACTTTCCTCGACCTTGTGAGCCACTTTCCTCAACCTTGTGAGCCACTTTCCTCGACCTTGTGAGCCACTTTCCTCGGCCTTGTGAGCCACTTTCCTCAACCTTGTGAGCCACTTTCCTCGACCTTGTGAGCCACTTTCCTCGACCTTGTGAGCCACTTTCCTCGACCTTGTGAGCCACTTTCCTCGACCTTGTGAGCCACTTTCCTCGACCTTGTGGACCACTTTCCTCGACCTTGTGGGCCACTTTCCTCGGCCTTGTGAGCCACTTTCCTCGACCTTGTGAGCCACTTTCCTCGACCTTGTGAGCCACTTTCCTCAACCTTGTGAGCCACTTTCCTCGACCTTGTGAGCCACTTTCCTCGACCTTGTGAGCCACTTTCCTCAACCTTGTGAGCCACTTTCCTCGACCTTGTGAGCCACTTTCCTCGGCCTTGTGAGCCACTTTCCTCGACCTTGTGAGCCACTTTCCTCGACCTTGTGAGCCACTTTCCTCGACCTTGTGAGCCACTTTCCTCGACCTTGTGAGCCACTTTCCTCGACCTTGTGAGCCACTTTCCTCAACCTTGTGAGCCACTTTCCTCGACCTTGTGAGCCACTTTCCTCGGCCTTGTGAGCCACTTTCCTCAACCGTGTGAGCCACTTCCCTCGACCTTGTGGGCCACTTTCCTCGGCCTTGTGAGCCACTTTCCTCGACCTTGTGAGCCACTTTCCTCAACCTTGTGAGCCACTTTCCTCGGCCTTGAGAGCCACTTCCCTCGGCCTTGTGAGCCACTTTCCTCGACCTTGTGAGCCACTTTCCTCGACCTTGTGAGCCACTTTCCTCGACCTTGTGAGCCACTTTCCTCGACCTTGTGAGCCACTTTCCTCAACCGTGTGAGCCACTTCCCTCGACCTTGTGGGCCACTTTCCTCGGCCTTGTGAGCCACTTTCCTCAACCTTGTGGGACACTTTCCTCGACCGTGTGAGCCACTTTCCTCGGCCTTGTGAGCCACTTCCCTTGACCTTGTGAGCCACTTTTCTCGACCTTGTGAGCCACTTTCCTCGACCGTGTGAGCCACTTTCCTCGGCCTTGTGAGCCACTTTCCTCGGCCTTGTGGGACACTTTCCTCGACCGTGTGAGCCACTTTCCTCGGCCTTGTGAGCCACTTTCCTCGGCCTTGTGAGCCACTTCCCTCGGCCTTGTGAGCCACTTTCCTCGGCCTTGCGGGCCAATTCTCCAGACATTTCGGGCAACAAAAACCAAGAAGATGAATTCCTGCAGTCACGAAAGCTTTAAATCGAAATGTAACCACCACTACGGGGTGGGATTCCACAAAACTTTAAGATCCTTCAACAAACTCCGGGATAAGAAGGCTCAGCTAATCGAGTCTCTTACCTTTCTGAAGAGATGCCGCGACTCTAAGGTAATGCAAATCGCATTTACACTAACCTCTGCTGCTGTAACTTCTTCTCCTCTTGATATGCAAATTCCTTTATCAAAGCGCCCTTCCCCCTCCAACCCAGCTTAAATATACGTTGCCAAGCTTGGTGGTGCTCATTCAGACGCTGTCTTTCCGACAGACCTGTTCTTCACCTGAGGACGGCTGCTTGCGTTGTGGCCGAAACGTCGTGAGAATTGTATTTAATTATGTTTTATTTTTATTATTTTATTATTTCCCTTCTACGTGACTTTACCGAAAGAACAAAGAAGATACATTCCAGCAATTGCTCACTCCACCCACTGCTGGCGAAAGGCCTCCACTCGAGCGAGATCTGGAGATTCCCTCGAGAGGGCATTTGGCCTTATCTTCCACGCTGGCCACACGGGGGAGCGGGAGCAGGCCACATTGTACCGCACCCGAAAGGTTGGATTTGCCAATCGACGGCTGACTTGCACCTATGGCGTCCATCGTGACACTTGGTGGGTGGACAGAGGTTGGGGCGATCTATTGAAGGTTGCCCCCCACTGCGTCCACTGCCGCTCGGGCTCGTGGAAGCGGCGGCCTCTGGGTTGCAGGCTCAGAGTGATCACTGTCACACCACGTTGACATCATCCCAGAAACAAAACATGCTTGCGTTTTTTACATTTTCACGTTTTTTGTTTTACACACGGGAAAATTGGTCCTTCGGCCTCTCTTTGGCTGATCGCACGCAGAGTTCACGATGTACTCTATCCATCTATTTAAAAAAATGTACCAGGTAAGGCCCACTGAGCGATACAGCTCTTGTTCCAGAAGCGACCTGGCTATCACAAATGGTAGCTCAACGAAGTGGCTGATCGTCACGTGCACATTTATAACAGCCAAATCCTCTACACGCGTGATGTTGATTATACATGTGGGGGGAGGGAGGGGGGGAAACCCGGAGTACCCGGAGAAAAATCCATACGACTACGGGAAGAGAGACACACACAAACTACAAATATACAGCAGCAGGCGTCAGGGTCGGGATCGAAGCCGCGACCTCCTGTACACCAGGCGAGCTGGTTAACATCTCCCAGCCACCGTGGCGCCCTTATCCATCCACTCGCTGTGTTGCAATCACTGAGGAGGCTCACCGCCGCGTGACCCACCTGTTGGTTGGCAATGACACGATCACGAGCCCGTGGAGCACTCTCCAGCCTCAAAACTCCCACGGGGTGCGGATATTGAACCGTCGCTGGCGAGGATACGCTCAGGGGAGTCGCGGCCCCAGGTGAGGAGCGCCATCGCGGCTGCGGATTCATGTTTTGGGTCGCTCTGGAAATCCCCCCCCCCCCCCGGGTGCGAAGTTGGTGAAACAATGCTCTGGTGGCACGGGGAAGTGATATCCGAGACGCATTTTTATTTTACGCGCAAAAAAACATGCGCCGCGGAGTTAATCGTGCCTGCCTTGCTATGCGCCCTGGGGCGGGTATCCGCTGCACGCCACCTCGAAGGGCGGGCGGTGTTCGTGAGAGGGTGCGCGAATTCGTAGCGTGGCTCCAGGCAGGCTCAAGTTGGGGGTCGGCTGAAAGGGACGATAATAAAATTCTATTTTACGTGGGCAGGGATTAGGGGGCCCCCACAGCCTAAACGCTGCACCGGGCGCCCCCCCCCCATGCCACGTTTCTCTCCACGCGTCTGTCTACCGCGACGTTCATCCTGAGGCGGCAGGGCCGCTTCTCCACTCCGTGTTGCTGTCACGCCAACGAGGTTGGCGAGGTTAGTGAGGTTGGTGAGGTTGGCGAG